CTTTGTCAAATTGGGTTCTCTTTATCTAGTTTTAGGACTTGTGTGGAGAAGAGATCACCTTTTTGGTCATATTTATGCAGAAGTGTTGAAAATTCAAAAGAGTTCACAAACTTTTAAGCAGCATTGTACCTATTCCCTGGTGTATAGTGATATCGCCAAGCGTGCAAGTTCAAATCGGCTGAGCAGATATTATAGGAGAGAAGCAGTCCCTTATGTAACCAGGCTTATGCCATCCAGGGTTTCATAGGTAGCAAGCAGCACTTGGAATGGCACCAGGAAACAAACAGGCAAACCAATGCACTTCTCAAAGCAGAGTTATTACATGGGCACACTGGGTCATGCCCATCACTGCACCATGCTGCTGCATACTGGACTAATTGAAGCTTCTTGTTGGGGTGGTCTTCAAGGGCAGGCCCATGTAGAGCACGTTGCAGTATTCAAGCCACAAGGTGACCAGGGCATGAGTGACTGTCTGAAGGGCCTCCCCCTGTAGGAGAGGATGCAACTAGTGCACCAGATGAAGCTGTGCAAAGGTCTTCCAGGCTACAGCTGGTACGTGCTCATCGAGCAGAACTGTCAATCTAGGAAGAGCCCCAGGTCGTACTATTGAATAGGAAAGTGCTACTCCATCCAAGGTTAAAAGTAGAACATCCCCAGATCTGGGTGGCCCATTGAGTCGGAGGGAATTCCTCCCCCATCCACATCCACATAGCCTTCAGGCATGGAAACAGACCCTTGGCAGCTTCACTTGACTGGCTCAGGGTTGAAAGACATAATTGGGATGATACCAAACATCAACTCTGTGGATGACCTCACCCAGCAGGTTCACATAGATGTTAAACAGGAGGGGAGAGAGGGTTGAATTCTGCAGCACCCCACAAAGGAAAGGCCTAGGGAATGGGATTTCGCACCCCCACCCTGTCCCGACCAATACTGACTGAAACTGGTTACGTTTTATCTTAGTCCAATTTCAATGGTAATTTTTGCTTAAAGTTCTTGAGTTACTAAGTAGTCAAGATAAGGAGCAAAAAGCAAGGATCAAAGTGACTGCAGTCCACTCATTAGAACGATTACCTCCTCTGATAGAGATTCCCAGGAGAAACAGAAGGAAAGAAAGTTTTGTATTCCCTAAGAGAATATGCAGAATGCACACATTGCCTTGGTGATATGAATATGCTCAAAATTATAATTAATCCCAAGACCTCTTCAGATCAGATATTTTTCTTCCATAAGAGCTTGGATGCTTCAGCATTCATGAACTGAGAGGTTGCTGTGCTTCAGAAAAGAGAATCTTTTAATGCCTTTATTAAGATACCTTCTGCAACAGTTTGTGTAGATTCTTCACCAATAGGTGAAGAGACTCCCAAAGTCTCAATGAGGGACTTCCAGACTCTCAAATAGGTGCCCAATACCTGACTTTTGCAGAAAGGAAATGGATCATCTTCCAACTTGCTGGGCACCTTAGGAGAAGCTGATGACTCTTTCTTGATGGATCCTAGGAAAGAAGAAAGGTAATGATCTCTTCTGCCATTGGAAGAAAAAAACAAAGAAGATAATCTGCAGTTCTGGAATTCCCTGGTCATCTGTAATCCGGGAACTAAACATACCCAATTTTTGTTAACTTCCAATTCCAAAGAAGATAATCTGGGTGCTGAATCTGTTGAGATAATTTTTGTTATCTTCTAAAAATAATCAGGGATAATAGATCAGAGAAAGATACATAGACACTTAATGTGTGCAATATACATAAACCCTCTCACCCCTATGGGTGGTATGTGTCTTCCTCAATCTCAATTCCTCTACCAGA